GACACAATGGCGAAAAAGGATTCATGTAGCCGACCCCACATAGTGGGACAAAGGCTTGATGTTGTTGTTGTAGTGTACAGACTTCAACCACATCAGTTATTTATTGAGAATAACTTATAAAACCCAGATCAGGATAAATCCCTTAAAATAATCACAGTATCAGATATATGGACCAAAATGAGATATTAGCGCATGCCAAATTACAGTTTTGATTTAACTATGTAAAGGTGGTTAGAGTTCTTACATCACAACCACCAAGTGGATCACCTCTTGCTGCATCAAATCCCGCTGATATTATGGTAATATCCGGTGCAAATTCCGAAGCTGCAATTAAAGATAGATTTAGGCTATATGTTTGACTAACAGAAAGAAATGGGAAATAAGAGGAATGAAAAAGGGAATTTTAGCATACGAGCTAGAAAACATAATAAATTGAATAAAAAAAATTAAGAGTACAGACAGTCGGTACTTGGTCACTCAGAATGATAATATATATGCTCAAACAAATAAGTAGAAAAGTAGCATAAGGTGCAAATTCTTACAACATGATAATGCTAAATTTCACCAAAACTAATCCAGTACATTCTTCCTGGAATGATATATTTTGAAAACTACTCCCAAAAAACATGCCCTTAAGAACTAATGTAACGAGAAAAGATGTCCTGCTTTGCACATAAACTGCAGAGCATAGAGAAAATCAAAGAAGAGCCTTCTTGGATTTTTCAGCGCCAAGTGTTCAGAAATGCTTTATGCTAATGATATTCTTCCTGTTGATAAGACTAGAGAGGAAGTTGAAGGTAAACTTGAATATGGAGGTCAACCTTAGAGTCTACAGATTTCCACTTGAGTAGATCTAAAACTGAATATATTGAGCGTAATTTTAGTAGTAATAGATCTAGTGAGGGGATTGTGACTTTGGGCGATCAAGTCATTAATAAGAGTACACGTTTTAGATATTTTGAATCTTTTTTTCAGAGTGCTGATGAAATAGATGGAGATATTATCAACAGAACTCAAGTTGGATGGTTGAAGTGGAGGAATGCATCCGGCTTGTTGTGTGATAGAAAATTCTATAAGATGGTGGTGATACCTGTAATGCTTTATGGTGTCGAATGTTGGCCACTAAAAGAGAAACATAATACTAAGTTAAGTGTTGCAGAGTTGAGGATGCTCAGGTGGATGGGTGGCTTACCCTTAGAGATAGGATACAAAATGAGCATATATGTGAAAAGGTTGGAGTAGCTTTAGAGAGAGCCGCCTTAGATGGTTTGGTCACATAAAACGACGGCCTTCCAATGACCTGATTAGGAAAGTAGAGATATTAGATTTGACTTATTTTAAGAAAGGTAGAGGTAGACCTAAAAAGATGTTGACCTCGATTTTGTCCTCGTTTACCCTTAACTGTGTTTGATCGGCTCAATCGAGTCATGACGAGTTAAACTCGAGTCGAATCGGTATCAATTGAAACTCGATTTTAGATTGACTCGAATCGAGTCGAATTCAACTCAACTGTACTCGATTGATTTCAATCAACATATATTGATCCCGTCGGGCCCAATTTGATTTCAATTAATGTTGCTTTTGGATTTAATTCCATTAAATTAAAATAATCGAGCCTAATTGAACCCAAATTGTTGCGAATTTTACTCAAACCCAACTCAATTTGAACCTAATTCTGGTCTAATAAACCCAATCCGATATTAATCAAACTCCATTTGACTTTCTAATGATTTTAAATCTGTTCCCAAATCAGAGAATGGATCCGACGGTCTTGATTCGCCTTGAAACCCGAGATCTGCCGCTACCAGGCTCTCCAGTCGCGTGACATCCTATTTTGGTGCGTGCCTTGATATCCTTTCGCAGGAATTCATGCAAGACGATGCCAATTCGATGGTTAGGAGTAGCAGGAGTCTTCAGAGAGGTTCTATTCAAGCCCAGGGATCCCCGCTCAAACTCCTCATTTGCATAAGCTCCCTCTTTCTCTCGGTTCCCCCATTCGCACTCCAAGACTCCAACGTCCCAGCCTCCCCCTCTCTTGATCTCTCTCTGTTCGCGAACACCAGAGCCAAACCCAACTCCATGCGGCCCTTCTCCCTCCCGTTTCTTCGCTCTCTTCCTTCATGTGTTTTGCACAACACTAGAGGCCGAAGCCCCCTTGCTCGCTCTCTGCTATTCGCACCCCAGAGGCGGAACTCCCTCTCTTCCCCTTTTCTTGTTTGCGACCCCCAGGAGCAAGCCTAGTTCCCAGACGGAGCCCTCACCCCAGTCGAAGCTTCCGAGCTTTCCTCCTCGCCGTTCTCGCAATCTACCTAGTCGACCCGAGCTGCTTCCTTAGCTGCAGGTATATCTTCTTCTTTCTCCTTCTTCTTCTTCTTGGTTCCCTTTCCTCTTCTTCTTCTACCTCTTGTTCTTCTCTATCGCCCCCATCTTCTCCTTCTCTTCTTTATTCCTCGCTATTGGCAACAAGAATGTGATCTCTACCATCTTCTTCTTTTTCCTCTTAAAAGCTTTCTTCTCTTCCGATGGATATCTCTATTTCTCTATATATGATTATTGGAATAGTTCAGAATCTGGGTGACCCATTTAAGCTTGCTTAAGGAAATGAATGGATATATTGCTAATTTACTTCTTGACTTTGTGCTTGGTTTCTTGTGATGATTTCATTCCTTATTCATTTGTTTGAAGTAATCTGAAATAAGAGAATGAGTTTGCATTGTTTTTTCTTGAAATGGATCTCCTACGGAATGAGCTTATTGCTTGAAACATGATCTAAAATATACTTGAATGATTCTTAATGAATGAATACATTATTGGTTGGTGTTTGACTTTTTTTATGTTATGTTTTTCTCCATCATTTTCTCTTTGAGAACAATAATTTTCTGAATTATCATCAATTTTATGTTTGCAAAGTTCTTCCAAAGAGCATGAGAGAGTCATACATGATTCCATAAACAAATTACTTGATGATCAGGTTTGACTCAACAGCTGCACATGGTAAATGATCATGACCAAGACCATCAAACTAGATGGTTTGGCCCAATGGCTCCACTATATTATAGTCACAGCAAAAAGCTTATGTTAGGTACTTAGTGTCTATCCAAAGACTAGCTTTAATCGAAAGTTCTCTCTCATTATCGGAAGGGATAATTAACCATAGGGGCTTGCACCTATGGGAAACCAGAACCAGATCATCAATTCCTCACAAAATGAGGGTGAAATCTCTGGAGAGCGTCTTATTTAAAGATTCAACTTGTCTTCTGAAAATTTATCCCGGAACCTAAATTCATTAAAATTCTCCCTATAAAAAAAAGGTGTGGAAAGGCCAGAGCACGAATTTCCAAAGTCCACATGTAACACTAGATGGATGTAATGGGCACTAATTTTCCCATAAAATGTGCACTTCTTTCTTTAATAGAAAAAAATCCTAATAATTCCTAAAGTTAAATTGACAACCAAATTTCATGGCATTTCAAATAGAATCCTTTATCAGTATAACATGACAATCAACATTAATTCACCAAGTATTTTGCTAGTGTCTAATTACTATCCCATATTGTTGAATACCACAAAGTCTGCAGCCCCTATTCAATTTCTTTAGCTAAACATATTTTCTTGAAATTCCGTAGTGCACATGTATTTGCACGGATTTTCATTAATGATGCAAGGATACAACAAAGATTAGAAATAAAATCCTCATTCAGTTGAAAAATAAAAAATTTACCTACGGGAAGGACAATGTGCTGAAAAGCAAAAATGTAATCATTATCTCCAACACCCCCTCGGCTCCAAGGTATGTTAACTGAGTATCCCTTACCATCCATAACACCAACCTGCATCAAACGAAGTAGAATCTCCAAGTAATCAAATGAAAAGAACGAGCTAAAAAAAAGGATATAATCAGAAGATAAAACACATGTACCATGACACTAACATGAAGCAACCATATGCACAAACGTTAGCTAAGTTGTATATAGAAGGAATATATGTGAAAACATTCAACATAAAATTGATTGGACTTGCACGCTTCCCACATTAGCAAGCCACTCCAAATGAAAATAGCAACATTTAAAAAACTATAAAAGAAAAAAAAAAACATAATTAATGTAAAAAGTAAAAACAGACTTTGAAATGAATTGGCTTCTTTCAATTTTATTTTATTTTATTTTATTTTTTTAATGAATATAACATTGTCGTTGTCAAGTCCCAAGTCCTGGATGAGAAAAGTATTAGGTAGTCGAAAGCCAGCGCAAAACTTGTCGAATAATCATGAAACGAATTTTTAATACATTGTGTTAATGCTAGGGTGTTCCCTGGAAGTGATGTACTGTATGACCTAAATATAGTGAGAAGTGTGCAAGGGCCACTGCACTGACACCTACTTGCAATGCTAAATAAGCAAGGGTTCCCACATCAAAAATGGAAGTGGGCAAATAAGCTAATCCATGAAAATAGAATTAGGTCATCTTACAACTAAATTAATGGAATTAATAGATATTATGATTCATAAGAAGATGAATATTTTATGCATTTAGAAAACTAAATGGATTACATAAAAGGCTAAGGATATTGATGGTTTATGGTTTAAACTATGGTATTCAAGTATGAATAGTACTAGAAATGAGGTAGGTATGACTAAAGATAAAAGTTTGAAGGAGAAATTAATAGAACTAGAGATTTTAGATGATAATATTATTAATATCATAAGTGCTTATGCTACTCAAGTAAATTTGAATATATGTTCAAAATTAAAATTTTAAAATGACTTAGAAGAATTAATACAAAAGATACCTCTAGAAAAAATGCTTTTTATTTGAGGAGATTTAAATGAATAAGCTTGTAGAGAGGTAGAATATTTTAAAAGCATTCATGGTGGTTATGGGTTTGGAGCGACTAATGAAGGTGGTAGGATTATTTAGATTTTTCTCTAGCTTATGATTTTATAATTACTAACACATTATATAAGAAAAGAGAGGAGCATCTCATCACTTATAAGAATGGATATAGTAAAATCAATTTGGATTCATGTCGGGTAGGTTTACTATGGAATCTATACATTTATTGAGAGGATTGATTGAGAAGTATAGGGAGAATAAGGACAATCTAAATTTGATATTTATTGAATTAGAGAAAGCTTATGAAAAAGTTTTAACAAAAGTGTTATGGAGAGCTTTAGAAAAGAGAGGGGTTAATAATAACAATACTCAAGTCATCAAGGATATGAATGCAGATCTTACTTATGTTCAAACACAAGGAGGTTGGACCAAGTATTTTCCTATTTCTGTAAGATTACATCAAGGATCAACTTTAAGCACATATCTTTTATCTTTATCCATGGATGTTCTTACTAGACATTTGCAGGAGAATGTACTGTATTGTATGCTTTTGCTGATGATATTCTTCTTATTGATAAGACTAAAGAGGGAGTTGAAGGTAAACTTGAATTATGGAGATCAACCTTCAAGTCTAAAGGTTTTCGTTTTAGTACATGGGGTGTAATGTTAGTAGAAATAGATCTAATGGGGGGATTGTGACTTTGGGCGAGTAATTCATTAACAATAGTACACTTTTACATATCTTGGGTCTACTGTCTAGAGTGACGGTGAAATAGATTGGGATATGATTAATAGAATTCAAGTTGGATGGTTGAAGTGGAGGAATAAATTGGGCCTGTTGTGTGATAGAAAAGTCCCCCTCAAACTTCAAGGAAAATTCTATAAGATGGTGTTGAGACTTGCAAGCTTTATAGCACAAAATGTTGACCATTAAAAGAGAAGCATATAATTAAGTTAAGTGTTGAAGAGATGGGGATGCTCAGGTGGATGAGTGACTAACTCTTAGAGATAGAATGTGAAATGAGCATATACGTGAAAATGTTGGAGTAACTCCAGTGGCAGATAAGATTAGAAAGAGTCGCCTTAGATGGTTTGGTAACATAAAGCGTCGGCCTCTGATGACCCGATTATAAGAGTAGATTTATTAAATTTGGCCTATGTAGAGGTAGATCTTAAAAGACTTGGTTAGAAAATATTAGAAATAACTTTTTTATTAGATTTAAATAAAAATTTGACTCTTAACAAAACACAATAGAGAAAGGATTCCTGTAGCCGATCCCACAGTGGGATAAAGGCATGATGTTGTTGTTGTTCTACTATTTTTAATGAATGTAAAAACTAGTTTTCAAATTTTCATGAAGTTCATCTGCAAGCTCCAACAACAGTATAACTGATGCGGACATCCAACGGTAAACGCTTATCTAAGGAAGAGACGAAGATCAAAGGCCGAGATCATTCCACTTTAACTTAATTTACTAATTGTATTTTTTTATTTTATTTATGCATTTTTCGTTTTTATCCTTTTTTGAGGGAGTTGTCCTTTGTAAGCCCTAGGGGTATGTTTGTCTTTTTAATATTCTTTCATTTTGAGACCTATATATAGAGGCCCTTGTTATTGTATTAAGAAAATGGATTATTAATAAAAAGAATTTTTCTGCACTCTTTGATGTGAAACCACATAGGAATTGCACAAAGAAATTTATAATGATTGAATTAGGCGTCGCAACTTAAACTTACTGTTTCACTTTGAAAAGATTTTATGAATTTAAAATTGTTTAAGTTGATATAGCAAGTAACCACACAATAGAAGACAAGATCTTCAAAAATATCAAAATTATAATGAAAACAAGTAGTGCAACAAACAAACAATCCACCACGTAACAAAGAGAGAATTCACCTCAAGTTTCCTTCACTTGCATTCTTTAAAGGTTAGCAGAAGAAGAATCGCTACAATCCGGAAGATGCCACTACAAAGGAGAGGAAGCCGGGGTAGAGATCCCACGAAAGTTAGCCGAAGGAAGGGCTATGTGTGACGACCGGTGATCCACCAACGTACGGAGGGAAGATGCTTTACTTCTTTTCTTGCAAGAGGGCTTACAGGATGAGAGGAATTCCAAGAAGGTGGGCAAGCAAGAGGGCCTGCCAAGTATGGAGGGAATTAGGGTTTGTGGGGTCTAGGTTTAGGGTTATGGAAAGAGCATTAAATCTGAAATTAATTTAATATTTAATTAAATGAGGAGGGAAAATAATTTGAAATTCAAATTCAAATTCAAATATGGGTTAGGGGAATTAGGGTTATTAAATCATCTTTAAAATTAATTACAAAGGAGGCTAATCAATTAAAAGAATTAATTGAGGGTGGAGGGAAGGATTAGAATTCAAATTTTGAATTCAAAGTTTGGGCATAAGGGGGGCCGGCGGTATGGATGAGGGTGGGGGAAATTGGGAGGGGAATTAATGCTTCCTAATTCCTTGGTTCACTTTAGGGAAGAGAATAAATAATTCAAATTTAATTTAATATTAAATTAGACTCAAATTGAAAATTTTCCTAATTTGAAAAGGCTAATTTAGGAAAGTATTTGAAATCCAAATTTGAATTTCAAATTGGATTAAATTCTCTCCCGAAATAAGTGGGCTACTTAAGGTAATTGTTAATGATGATTAAAATCATCATCAAGAAGGCAATGGTGAGGTGGCCGGCGGTGAGTAAGGGGATGGGGGGATTGGTGGTGTGAAAGTTGTTCAATTGGTGGGGGAGGGGCCGGCGGGCTAGAGGGTGGATGTGGGTGGCCGACGAGTGGTGGGTGGGGTGGAGATTTAATTAATTAGATCCACAATTTGAGCGCTTTCCTAATATGGATTATGTCAATTTAGGAAAGAATTCAAAATTTGAATTTGAAATCAGATTTTGAATGGGAGTTCCCTCCTAATCTTAATGCTCCACTTTTGGAAAGAGGCAAGATAATCAATTTTGGATCCATGGGAGGGGAAGGCCGGTGGAGGGAAGGTGGAAAAGTAATTGGGCGGTTTGGGTTGGCTTGGAGAGGGTGGATGGCGGTGCAAGCCAAGGAGGAAGAAGGAAATACTAAGAGTACTAACCGCGAGTCCCGGAATTCACCGGTGGCTGACGGGTGATGTGTGACCCTCTCCTAGGGTTTCTCCTCTCACGAACTCACAAAGAGATCAAGAACAAGAAAGCTGAATTTTCATTAGTAATCATTCATCATCCAAATACAAGACCAAGGACCTAATATATAGACCTCATAGAGAAAGAAAAATGACTAAAATGCCCATAGGGCTACAACTCAACGCAACACACAAGCAAGGGTTCAAATGTAAATAAAGAAAATCTGAACTAATACATAAAATATCAAATCTATACGCTCCTCATTGTAGCCGTCGATCTACGATGCTTCTGGCGGTAGACATTCTGGAATCTCCTACTGATGTCCTCATCACTCTTGTACTTCGGGAAGAACTTTAGTGGGATCCCTATGTGATGGAATCGTAGTATCCACCAGCCGTACGATGGGTTCGGGATCGTGGATTGAAGTCCCTTGGTGAAGGGCAACGTATCACCCGTCAGCCGCAGGAAGTGTCCGGACTCACAATTTTATCCTTCTTTCCTTGAACTCATTTTCTCCTTCTCCCTTGACTGCCGGTCATACCCCCTCCATAGCCGCCGGCCAAGCTTCCCTCTTCCATCCTCCCACTCTTTAAACCGAACTCCACCACCACCTCCTAGCTAGTAACCCCATCCCCTCCATTAAGCATCGGTCCCCTTCCCCACAACCCTCCCCTTCCCCACCGAAATCCACACATCCTCCCTCTTCTCTTGGCTCCACCCATTCAAATCTTGCATTCAAAACCTTCCAATTTGAGCCTTTCTTATTTTGGGAACAATTTAATTTCATATTCAAATAAATTTGAATTTTGAATTTGTTTCCTAAAATGAGAATCCTTATTTTAGGAAAGTTCCTAAATTTATGCCCATTTAAATTTTAAATAGGGTTGAAATTAAATCAATCATTCCTAATTTACAATTCTAATTCAAGCAAGCATTAATTTCCCTCTCTTAAACCCCTCCCCTCCTTGAAGCCGCCGGCTCCTCATTCACATGTTTGAATTTCAAATTCAAATAGCTTCTTGATTACTTTCATAAATTAGTTAATTGTTAATTTGGAAAGCTTCCTAAATTGAATTCAAATAGATTTGAATTTCAAAAACTTTTTCGGATTAATAAATCCATTTTAGGAAACCCCTCTAATCCCTCCAAATCTGAAATTAATTTCAGATTTAATTCTCAATCCCAATTAATGCTTGATTCACATTCATTGAACTTAGACACCTCATCCTTCCCTCTCACTTGGTCGGCCCTCTCTCCCCTCTATCCTAATGATTTCCTTCCTAATTAAAGGGACCAATTAAAGAGAGAATTAATTCCTCTCTTCCCTCCCTTCTTTTTTTGTTTGAATTTCAAATTCAAATCCATTAATTAAGAGAAATCTGAGATGGAATATTAGATCTCTAATTTTTTATTTACCCCCCTCCGTTCTACATCAATAACCTTCACATATAATAATACTAACCATCAATACGTGTGATCATGAAAAATTTTGGTGAAACTACCGTTCAGGGCTAAATAGTATGCTAGTTGTTTTCTTAAGAGCGGTCCTTGGGTGGGAGTACAAGTTCATTTTACAAAGAGAATATATCCTTCGTGTTTAATCACTCTTGGGAGAGCCGTGTTATTTATAATGGACAAACCATTCTAAACCAGATGGATCATGTCAACCTAGCAAAAAAAAACCCATTAAGAAGGTAACATGTATAATCAAGTTTTCCATTTCAAAGAAAGGATAAGCTTGAATTTGAGTTTAGCAAAGTTATGTCAATCAAATTTGTGTTCCTGAATTTGGGCGGGCAAAGAAGAACACCTTTCCTCACCTCCTAATGCCCCCCTCCTCCTCTAAGTGGGTGGAGTAACTAAGGGCAAATAGCATGCTGCATACAAAATATATTATAGCGAAATAAAATGAACAGAGATGCAGTACCAGAACTAAACAAAGATCCTTGCACTGAAAAGATAGGGGAAAAAATAATTGCCTTATCAACATGTAAACATTACACAAAAAGTGGTTAGAATGCTAAAATCAAATAACATGTGTGGGACCATGTTCATCTAGCCAGATTCAGGATGCTCGCTATTATACTTGTCATGCACTGTGAAGAATTATTACGTCCTCCGACCGGATGCAGAGGAAGATTCGGTCGTAGGCAAAATCGCGCCTATACTGAGGTGTACCGAGTTTTTTGATTTTGCCTACGGCCGAATCTTCCTCTGCGTCCTTACACCGAACCAAATAAAAGTTCCATGCACTGTGTTGTCAACAAGGTAGACCTTTCAATGTCTCAACAACAAAATGTTTCCTTAATAACATAAAAATTTCATTCAAGGCCAAAAAAATTACCTCATTAGCTGCACCCGTTCCGGGATAAAATCTCCCATTCTCATGTCGGTGCAAAGAAACATACAGGACCTTAAAAAAAGATAACATACACAAGAATTAAGTAAGAAACAAAACAGCAAATGCAAAAATCATGCATAAGCACTAAGCACACTCCAAATAGCTAAGGCAAGTGCCATTCAAACTAGCTACAGCCATGTGCAACGTAGCTAGAGCAACAAGAACTCTCGATGATCACATATGTAAGGTGAAGAGGGGAAAAAAAAGTTTGAATAAAGCAGCAAAAATTTTAATTCTTAGAAAACGAGACTGCTACTATATATCACATAAAACAACGGCCACAACGGCCTTCTGATGACCCGATTACGAAAATAGATGTATTAGATTTAACTTGTGTTAAGAAAATAGAGGTAGACCTAAAAAGACTTGGTTAGAAAATATTAGAAATGACCTTTCTTATTATATTTAAATGAGAATTTAACTTTTAGCTGGACACAATGAAGAAAAATAATTCATGTAGCCGACCCCACATAATGGGATAAAGATTTGATGATGATGTTGTTGTTGTTGTAGAAAATGAGACTGAAATCCAAGGTGAGCAAAGGTTGTACAAGTGCAAAGCACACCAAAGTGATGAATAAACCATACAATGAAGCACTACAGACAAAGAAGGTTGAAATGATATTTCAGTCTACTGCATGTAAGAAAATCAGAAAGCACAGTTTCAGTAATTAGGATTTCACATGTCAATCAAGAGGCAGCCATTTTACTGATTTCTTGGCACAGTAATATGGAGCAACCAATTTGCTTTATTGATGGCTTTTTTCCTAGGCTGCTGAGGCAAATCTTCTGGAAGGATGCAAAATGGGTTGCTTTCTTATGAGATTTCTGCATCTTTTCTAGTTCATAAAAAAGGTATCATTATAGCACTTCCTTTGTCCGTTATTTCATTCGAAGTTTTCAACATATTCTTTTGGATCACAAAAAAAAAATGTAACATAAATTAGAATTTCCTATTTTGTTCTATATTATCAAACCAAAATGAAGCATTCAGTTCTACATAAATTTGAGAAAATTAGGTTTCTACCATGGTTTGATTAAAAGATGAAATCAGTTAAAATAAAAATAACCATAATTCTTATAACATAAATGGTCAATTATCATACTATAGCTCACCGATTTGTTTCCATCAAATATTTCTTGAGTACCATTGCCGTGGTGTACATCCTGCCATCACCATAAAGATAATAAAATGATCAACTGATAGCAAAAACAATGTCATGTCATTCTGTCAATAGACAATTAAGATACACTCTAAAAAAGATTAAATAAGACACAAAAATGGGAGTTAAAAGTTTAAATCAAACACGCTATAGCAAAATTTGTAATTATGATATTTCAATATTTCTTGAAACCCCTAATGATTTACCCAGTCAACAATTAAGACTTTATTGGCTCCAGCAGTCTGGGCTGCCAATGCAGCAACAGCAGCATTATTGTGAAGGCAGAAACCCATGGCTTGTCTTATACCGGCATGATGCCCAGGAGGTCTAACCTGACTTATGGAATGAAGAAGAAGAAGTAAGATCAGTTATGAAACCACCATGAAAACATCATAGTCTTTCCAATGAACAATTGAAAAAAAAAAAAGGTTATTTACCAGGGCAAAACCATTGCTAGTCTTTCCAGACATAATGAAGATAGCAAGATCTGCACATAGTCCGGCAGCTAGTCTAGCAGCCAAGGCTGAGTGTTGGTTGGCGTATGTATCTGGAGTGAAGTAGCTGTGTGTTGAACCAAATGAAAGTTCATTACTAGTCAGCCTAACTGAGTTGTATATCTAAAGGCCGGTAAGTAAATTACTGATGCATGCAATATTATTTATTGTAATATTGTGCTATCAGCATCGAGCAATAAGAAGATTCAAAACTTTAAAATGGAACAAGAGCACTTAGTCTAAAAATCAAAAGAAACACCACGTTTACGAAAATCATAAAGGAATAAAACCATAGTACACCCAAAAGCCAGATAACACCATGTATAAAATTGGATTATCAAACCTATGTTAGTGCCAAAATATTATGTTATAGTTTTCTTGGGGTATTTTGATGAATAGCAATTAATATGATTATCAACTTATGTTCACAGTTTCTTCTACATCATGTTGGCAAAGACGAAAATCAAATTACATTCCTACTGTGAAAATTTCAGTTCCCATAACGTTGGTAGCATCAAAAGTTTAGGTGTTAGTTTTAGTTTTTAGTTTTCTTTTTTGGTTAAAAAAACTAAGACATTACATTTAAAATTTATTTCATTAAATATATTTTAAAATTAAAAACATAATTTAAATGCAAGATAGATGGATATTATTTGATTCTTTGTAATCCTAAAAATAATATAGTTATATATGCTATTCATATAAATTTTTATATGTAAATATAAATATTATTATCATATAGGAATACATTTATACTGTACAGTTTAATGCAAGATAATTAAAATAGAGAAGTCTCTTAAGAGTTTTGTTTGATATAAGGATATCAAGAAGGTTTAAAAGTAAATTTAATCAAATCATAATTAGGAAAGTGATAATGCATGGATCCAAATGATGGGCTATAAAAAGTCATTGATATATAAGTTAAGAGTGAAGGAAATAAGAATGCTAAAATGTAAGTATAGTAAAACAAAGAATGATAATATTTTAGAAAAATGGTTAGGGTAAAATCTATGTTACACTGATACGGATATGGCGACACGGATACGACACGTACGGATACGGGACACGTCAATTCCTATAAATCATACATAAAAATTAAGAAAACAATCAAAGCATAATATTAGAAATGACAAAAAAAAATGAAAGCAACATCATTTGTAGCCTTGTAGCTTATAATATCAAAATAAAATTAAGCATTGAGTCAAGGGAAGAGTTAAAACTCATTGCCTAATAAGAATTTTGTGGAATGATTTCACTAATTATGTTGTTGCATGATTTGGTGGCACGTTTACTAAATAACATATGAGAGCTAAACTTCCTTTTTTCCATTTAAGCAGACATACAAACCATAATAACATGATTTTTTTAATACATTAAACAAAAATAAAAGCATTACAAATAAAAAATAATTTGATGCCCTAATATCCTATTTTCTAGTGAACTAACATGTCTTCAAAATAGCTAAGTTAGTAGAGCATTGGGAGTTCTGTGGCGACTCTCCCGCCGTTCTAGGGCTTGCCTGGGGGGCTTCCCTCCTGCGGTCTCCGCCGCTGTTTCACTTAGGAAAGTTTTCCTTTCCCTTTCTCTTACATTCTTGGTTCTTTTCGTGTTGTTTCTTTTTTATTTTCTAGCCGTTTGGGGCTAGAATGGCATCGAAGCGCCTGTTAGACCCTGATTTTTTGTCTGGTTCCAATTATTCGCGTTCCTTCGCCGAAGCCTTAGCTGGTTCTCCGTCTAATGTGTGTTTCCCAGAGCTTAAGTTTTCGTCTTTTCGCGGTCTACCCTCTTTTTGGGTCTCTGAGGAAGAAATTCGGGCCCTTGCTGCTCCTTTCCAGTTTGCGCTTATCAGTTTTTTTTCCATCCCGGCAGCCTAGTCTAAACTCTATAAGGATATTTTTTTTCAATCTGAAGCTTATAGCTGATTTTTCGATTACTTTGCTTGATTCTACGCATATCTTGGTTAAGCTTTCGAATGACCTCAATTATAGTCGGGTTTTCAGCCATCGATCATACCTGGTTCACAACAGCTATATGAAATTAACTAAATGGTCTCTTTCTTTGGATATCAGTGTTGAATGCCCAGTTATTCCTATTTGGATCTTTTTCCACAGTCTTCATCCTCATCTCTTTAACCCAAGGATTCTTCATGCGTTAGGGTCGATCTTTGGTCATCCGCTTAAGGTCGATTCTGCCACTTCTTTGGGCTCTAGACCTTCTATTGCAAGAGTTTTGGTTGAGATTGATATCACGAAAAATTATTCGGACAAAGTCTGGATTGGTCCTGAGAAGCTCGGTTATATCCAAAATGTTGAAATGGAGGTGTTCCCCCCTTTTTGTGCTCAATGTCAGTCTATTGATCATGTTAGGGGGGAATGTCAGTCTAAATATGTTGTCCCGTTTACTGTACCTGTTAAGCCCTCTTGTTCTGTTAAGGATTTTGATCAAGGGGAGGCCGCTGGGGTTACTGTGCTTCGGTCTGGTGATGTATCCTTGGTTAACTCTCCTGCTGTCAAGAATTTGTAATTAATGCCGGATCCTAATGTTGTTGTCGGGCAGGTTAATGATGTTTTGGTTGAGGAGGGTGTTTTGCCTTTACCTTTTGCTTGTTCTAAGGCTTTTATTGAGCTTGATTCATGTAGTAGGGATAATGCTGATGCCGCTCATGCTTGTAGTCCTATTGATGTCACTGTTGGGAATGGTGATGTGGATGATGTTGCCATTGCAGATCAATTAGCTAAGTTGCCTCCCCCAGTTTCTTTTGAGGTATTGCCTTTTGGGCTTGTCTTCGCCACATGCTGTGGTTGATCTGATGAGTTGTGCTGTTGTTTCGAATTCTAACAATTTGGGTATACCTAATGCTATGAGTAATTGTATTTCTCCTAGGGTTGTTTCTACTCCTATTTTTGTGGATGGTTCGAAGGAGAAGAACTATGTTTTATGTGAGATTAATAGGGATGTTGGGCATGAGCTGTCTAGTGGGGATGTTAGGCATGAGCGGTCTAATGGTTCAGTCCATCCTGTTTCTCCTAATACACCAGTGGATTTGACTTCCAGTTTCCCAAATAATTCCCAAAAAATGATTGTGGTTGCTTGTGAAGTGGTTCCTATTGTTTCTTGATGCTATCAAATATTTATGTAATTTTATTTTTATTTAAACAATAGTATGTTTTATGTTCTTTTCTTTTTTTAGCTATCTAATGATGGAAAAGCATCCAATGAACATGGTAGGTTGTGCATGGGGCTTGGTAGACCTTTGGTTTGCTGGCTCGATTGGTCCTTTGGCTGCTGCTGGTTCACGGGTTGGCTGTTTTGGGGCATATGATGATGGTTGGAGTTGAGCTCATTCTCTTAGTTGCTTGAGCTGATGTTTAGAAGCTCATTAATGTTCTAAAGGTAAGCTCATAAAGTTGGATTCAATTTTTGGAGTGGACTTGTCCCTTCTCCTTCCCCTTTATTCTTGTCTCTTGGGGATCCGTGGCTTGTTTTAATGCTGGCTGAATTCTATGCCTTGAATTCCACGGGTGGCTACTGTTTCCGAGCATTGCCTCCTTGGTTCCCATGATGGCTGATGGTTTTCCGAGCTGGGAGTTTTCCCGTGGCTTTTGATGCCTCGGTTCCGTGTGGTTTCTTTGGTTCTTGTGGCTGCTCCTTCGGTTCCTGAGATGGGTTGTTTTCCGTGAAAAGGATATGGGAAAAATCCATAACTTGATGCTTGGGTTCTTGTGGAAGTTAATTAAAGTCAACGTTTTAAAAGGCGAAATCGGGAATCGATGCGTTTTGGCTACGCGAGGCGAGGCGTAAGCCTCGAGGCAGATCGAGGCGTAAGCCTCAAAAATTATAAAAATAAAGCAATTTAAAATTATGAATAATGACAAAAATGTCAAAAAATAACAAAATATTACGTCAATTGTGATTTTGATGATTTGTTCTAAGATAATATTAGTATATTACTGGAAAAAAAGATTTAAAATAAACTCACTTAAAAATAAAACATCCCTTTAGGATCAAGACCCAAT